CGCTCCCCATACCAATACTTCTAGTGTTATGGGGAGACTCACTAATACTTACACGTAAGACTAAAGGTATTATGAGGCATCCTGGCGCCCTATGTCATGCCCGTTGATCACTAGCACTCATCACCTACAGAACCAGGAGAAGGATTGATCAAACACTTTACCATGAGGACCAGATGTATTAGTTGGGTAATGTGTGAGGGGATACCTGAAGCAAGGGAGGATGATGCTAACTAGTTCTTGACTCTGAGGAGAGAGAGAAGACATAAATGACGTAAGGCATATTTCGTCACCTGAATATTAGCCCCCTTGTTTATTTAACTTAAGATTAACCTAACTTAACCTAACTCCCCAGGTATCATCATGGTGTTTAATCATCAGGTTAAATAAGCTGGGGGGTTAATTTTCAGGTGATCCTGGTTATTTAGTGACACTACGGTACAGTAAAATGAAGGTACGGAGGGGAAAAAATCACTATGAAAACGCAAGAGGAACAAGCTGAGGGCCTGGGGTACTCCGTCGCCATAAACATCAAACGGGTCATAACTCGTCCAAAAATGGAAGTCAAATATTGATTCTTGAACTCGTTGTGAGTCTTGTTGGCCTACATTCATATATGGAATCTCATCAAGAATCTATTTTTAAACGTTCAGGTTATCGCACTCAGAAGGTACAGTACCTGGACGGACGGATGCACGAAGAGTACTGTACTGTACACAAAAACCAACTGGCAGATACTGTTTCCAAAGTTCCCGCCTCTGACTTTCTGCAGTACAATGGACAATAACGATAAGAATATAGGAAAAGTTGATAATTTTGTTAGTTTATACATGTTGTTTTTAATCTCTTGTCTCTTTCTCTTTCCTCCTTATTATCTCTCTCTCTCTCTCTCTCTCTCTCTCTCACATACATACACACACACACACACACACACACACACACACACACACACACACACACACACACACACACACACACACACATACACATGCACACACATACACACGCACCTTCAACATATCACCTTCCACCCACCACACCAGGTTGGGTATAGGGCCGCCCCCACACACCCTGGACTATGTGCTGCCAGTGAAAGTTCTTCAAATTATATGATACGCAGCTTTAAATGTCCCGCCATACATCACACACTGTTTGTTACTCCTCTCTTTTCTTCGCGTGACCTTTGATGACAGACTGGCGGGATGATAATGCTACCCTTCTTCTGCCTATAGGCGCTGTACAGTATACATATAGGCGGTCGTTGCTTTGTTGTCTATGTTCACTGTTGTTCTCGTGACTCTACACCTTCATTTGTTTTCCTCTCAGGTTATTGACTTGGTTTATCCACCCTCATCTCCAGGTTTCTCTTGAGGCCTGGAAGAGAGTGATGGATGGTCTTGTAAACGCGTTATGGGCCACGGGGAGGCGGTATAGTTACAACGGAGCTCTGGAGAGATGAAAAAACAAAAACAATGAAAATACTAGTGAGGTTTCAGAGCTTTGAATAGGCTGAACTAAACAGAAGATGAACGAATGACCAACTGGAGTGATGTGTGTGTGTGTGTTATCGTGTAAACATCTGCCCAAAACTAGACACAGGACAAAGGTCACAGAGGAAGCAGGACACAGGGCGCAGGTGTAGCAGGACACAGGGCACAGGGGCAGAAGGACACAGGTGCAGCAGGACACAGGACACAGGTTCAGCAGGACACAGGTGCAGCAGTACACAGGTGCAACTGGAAACAGGAGCAGCAGGACACAGGGTACAGGAAAAGGAACAACTTGGGGAGGTGAGGCGGTCGAGGGCAGTACCGGCCCTGCTGCCTCCTTGTGCACCGAAGGCTTAGTATACAGTGTGTTGTATCCACACTGTCCCTTCACAGTTGGGGAAGTGAGGGAGATCAAGTGCAGTGCTAACTAGCCTGCCTCCTTGTGTACCGACTTTCACTATGTTCATAATTACTACAACACAGTGTGATTAATTTACAGAGGATGTGTTGTGGTTGCCAGCTTGTCTTTTAAACACACAGATGAAGTCATGAGCTTACTTAAATACCTCCCGATTAATTACCGTCATTACCTTACTCAGCCATCACCTGCCTCACTCTTAAGTAAGTAGAATGACGCCGACTTATGTTATACATTAAGTAGGATGACTTAATGCTTGTGTTGTGAAGTGAAATACTGATAATGCCACTGAGCTATTTTTTGTGTTGGGTTGTATTTGTGTGTTGAAAGTGTGTTGTGGTGTGTGTGTGTGTGTGTGTGTGTGTGTGTAGGTACAGTACACACAATAAGTACACTATACTGTATAAATAAAGTTCATAAAACACATAAATATAACACAACCTCAGTAAGTGTGTGTCCAGGCCTCAACATAGTCTAACTTGTGACAGAAATATATGTAAAGAAGGACACCTGGAGCACGCTGAGTGGAGGTGTGGCCCGTTACCTGCTACAGTCACGTCTGCTCATAATGTCTCCCTCTTCTCTAGTGGTACAACGACGTGCTGTAAGTCCAGAACATACATAGAGTTACTTGCAGATTACACACTCAACCTTATTTCACCTTAAGATTAACCACAAAACCTAATCTAGCCTAACCTCTCTTAACCTAACTTAACCTGACCTAACCTAACCTCGCCTAACCTAACCTAACCTAACCCCTAGGTAGCGTTAGGGTATTTAATCATTAGGTGAAATAAGTGGGAGTTTAATCTTTAGGTGATCCTTACATATGAACCCCTGAGAAGCTGACCTTTACATCATAGCCTTACTGCCTCTTGTCACGTGCTTGCTACTCCACCGGTCACTAAAATAGGGCGTGTAATTAAATCTAACGACTCCACAAACTACAGGAAGATCTAAGCAAATTTTTTGCTTGGTCTGAAAAATGACAGAAGAAATTTAATGTGGACAAATGTAAACAGAGAAACCAGATATCAGAGGAGCAACGTTGATGTAGAGAAATCCGACTGTGAGAAAGATTTAGGGGTAATGATAAGTAGGAATCTTAAACCAAGACAACAATGTGTATTTGGTCGAAACAAGGCGAACAAATTATTTGGGTTCATACAAAGGAGTGTTAGTTACAAGACTAGCGAGGTCATCCTAAAACTGTATCTTGCGCTTGTGAGACCTCACTTGGATTATGCAGTTCACTTTTGGTCACCGTACTACAGAATGGGTATAAAATCCCTAGAAAGCATACAAAGGAGGATGACAAGACTAATCCCCGGCATTAGGAACCTTCAGTATAGAGACGGATTAACTCGAACACACTGGATAGCTTCAAACATAGGTTGGATGGATATATGAGCAATAGGGGTTGGGTGTAAACGGAACTGCCCAGTATGGGCCAATAGGCCCGCTGCAGTTTCCTCCATTATTATGTTTTTATGTCACGTGCGGAACTACTCCACCACAGTCATGTGATGGCTACTCCACCAGTCACTGTCATCCACCAGTCTTGCCTGCAGCCCATTAAACAGTTCCAGTAGCAACATTAATATAAGAATGGATGAGGTGAGGTTGGGTTAGGCTAGGTTAGGTTAGGTTAGGTTTGCGTTTGGGTGATGAATCTTTAGTTGTAATAAGCTGTGGTGGAGATTCTTCAGGTGAATCAGAATGAATATAGACAAATAATAAATAGCTAAGAAAATAAATACTTTTTTTACCGTAAACAGATAAGGATTTAGATAAATAATATAAATGAATAATAATATTATATAAAGAAAGAACAATGATAAAAGAGATAGACGGAAAAAATAGAGTGAAATAGATGATACGGAATGAAAGGGTATCTGCTAAACACTTCCCCCCGCCCACCTCTTAGACGAATATATACTCCAGGATCTGTGTGTGTTGGCGTCGCGGATCCTAACTTGTTTTTCACCCCTGTCCCTGAACCCTGGACCTTCTCTAAACTAGCGTGCTGTCTCAAACTCACTAATAAATTGCCTTTAGTGTATACGCCACGGCTGGCCTTATAAAAAACATGGGTGAGTGTTAAGTAAGTCACGTTTGTTGACAGACAGGACGGGGTTATGAGGTGTGTGGGGGGGAAGGTGTGTGTGTGTGGGGGGGAGGGGGGTGTTTGTGTGTGTGGGAGTGTTTGTGTGTGTGTGCGGGTGTTTGTGTGTGTGGGGGAGGCGAAATCAGCCCATCTGGGAGTATCGTCCGGTCTCTTCCCGCGCCACTCACTGCCTTGTTCTTATGAGTTCCCACACGTTCAGTATTTCTCTCTCGGAAAAAAAAACACACACACACACAGAGGAGTTCCATTCTCTTCTCCAGGCCATTGTCACACTCACGCCGTCGGGAGTGAAAGCTCGACGGGATTTTTGGTGAATTCCTGGTGATGTGACCGTGACTGGTGATGTAGCAGGCCGAAGGTAGTCAATCACCACTCACCAGGTACAGGTATAAACTCGGAGACGACTCAGGTAATGAAGTGATGGTGGCTGCTGATGTAGAGAATGTGGGGAAAAAAATAACAGGAAAAGTTTGAGGTTTAGTTATATTTTCATATTTGGACGTGTTGAAAAATCTTTACTTTCGGTTCTTTCAGTTTTTTCATGACCAAAGAAAACTTTCAGAACCCGACCCGACCAGACCTAAGCCAATTCGTCCCGACCCGACAGGACCCGACCCGACCCGACCCGACCAGACCCATCGACCCAACCCACCCGGACCCATTCCAACCCGATTCGACCCGACCTAGCCTAACCTAACCCAGTCTAGCGTGTTAATTGTATATAAATAAAATATGAGTTTACTACCTTTCACACACACACACACACACACACACACACACACACACACACACACACACATTATGCCACTGAACTGACGAATTTGTTGTGATTTGGTTGTAACTGGTAATGCAGTAGACAGTCACCAGTAGACTCTAAATTAACCCGTGCCACTCAACTAGTGATGTGACCGTGACTCGTGGTGCAGCAGACGATCACCCGCCTGCTCCCACTCACCTGGTGAATCAGTCAGAGTGAAATTAGACTTGTCACGTTGGTCACCATTCGTCGAATTCTTTGAGAGTACCATGAGAGAGTGTTGACCTGTGTCTGAGTGTTGACCTGTGTCTGAGTGTTGACCTGTGTCTGAGTGTTGACCTGAGTCTGAGTGTTGACCTGTGTCTGAGTGTTGACCTGAGTCTGAGTATTGACCTGAGTCTGAGTGTTGACCTGAGTCTGAGTGTTGACCTGAGTCTGAGTGTTGACCTGTGTCTGAGTGTTGACCTGTATCTGAATGTTGACCTGTGTCTGAGTGTTGACCTGTGTCTGAGTGTTGACCTGACCTGATGCTGATTGTCGACCTGTTGTTGAATGTTGACCTCGATATGTCATAATCAGGGCAGGTGAGAGGCCAGGTAGCTACTTTGAAGGCGGTAAACACAAGTTACTGCAGATGTGATGCCCTGAAGGATCACGCCGAGGACTGACGGTGTGTTATAGGGCATAAGAGGTCAGGGTTTACGGGTGGAGGGTCAGGACGGGTCAGTATGAAAGGTGCGGGGAGGGCAAGAGGAGGTCAGGAGGAGGGGAAAGGGGCAGGGGGCAGGAAGTCGAGAGGATGATCGCTGTGGTAAGCAATATCAAATCGTGCCGAGGATGAGATGGTAGTGAGTCGTGTTTCTCTTCAGGGCCGAGTGCTCTTAATGCTAATTCACTTGCAACACCTTAGCTGGAGCCTCAGCCTCTAATGCACTCCTTACCACATCAACACAAACACCTGTACTTACCATATCATAACCCATTTTGTGTGTAATTGTTACTTAATATGTACTGTAATTTACGCCTCATGTTAGTTGTGTTAAAACGAGTCAATATTAACCAGGGAACACTAGGAGGAAGTCGTCACCTGATGCCTGTTGAAAGTTTAGCTACAATTTAAGCAAATGTTATTATAATTCATATTTATATTTTCACAATTGATTTCATATATATAACCATATAAAAGTGTGTAATTTTTTTTCCCTATGATACATTTAAGAAATACCAAAGAAGAAAAGAGGTCAATTGACTAGTTGATGGACTTATATGGACACAGTGTGATAGTTTAATGGACTCAGTTTATAAATGTTCCACTGAATGAACGTGTGGTATAGAGAGGCCTCACCACCACCACCTCACCACACTCTTACATCACCACTCTATGCCTCAGTCTGGTTAACAAAATTGATACGTATCTCCACCCCAGAATATTTTACCTAAAGAATAACTACCCTGACTTTATTTGGGGGATGAGGTTAGGTTAGGTTAGGATAGGTTAGGGTGAGAGATGGAGGGTAGGAGAGGGAGAAGAAAGGGAAAAGAGAGGGGAGAGGAAGGAGAGAAGAAGGAAGGAAGGAAGGGGGAGGGGAGGCAGATGAAGAGCAAGAGGGAAGGGAGGGGAAAGGAAGGGAAGGGAAGGGGTTGAAACTGGCCCTCTTCCTTGCATCACTAAGGCTCTTTGTACAGTAACTTTGTGTTCCAGGGAAGGAGCCTCATGACCAGACAATATAATGGCGGCGGCACACTGGGAACTCTTCCTCCCAACCGTGCTGGGCCAACACGGTCCCGGCCAGCAAAACAAAGAGACGTTTAGTCACACTGGTAGTTCCTGTTGCCGTTCTAGGACGATGTCCTTCCCTTGCCTTTCTTCAGGAGGTTTTTGCTGAAGTGCTCATGTCTGTGGTTCCACAGAATAGCGTAGTCCCTAGCGCTCTCTATTAATTTGTTCTGTGCTTCACAACGCCAAATAAACTTCCTAGAAGATGAAGAAAGGCTACGTTTGGGTGATGGGGAAGCCATCGTGAAGTTTGTTAAGTGGCAGCGCCTGGCTGGTCACAGAAGACCCTGAATAATGATTTAATAGTACCAAAGAAGTTTTAAAGTAACGAATAAATAAAAACATGTCAGAATTTTCTATGTTATATTTAAAATTATTATTATTTCATGATTTATTTCTATTTTTACTTAAATATTCAACGCCTACTATGAAGCTCATTGCGCACTAACCCGGTCAGCAAAGCTCGCCGCCAAACCGTTGTCCATTTCTCGCAACAGCCAAAATCCTGCTGCTTGCTGTGCCGTCAGGTCAGCGGCCAACATGTTGGGAGGAAAGAGCCCAGTGTGCCGCCGCCTGAAGGTATAATAGCAAGTTGGTCTGGTCTCCACCTTACTAGGAAATATGCGATGTAAACCATTTATCACCTGCCTTCTATAATAATCCTTTAATTATTAGTAGTATTATTAATTTTTATTATTATTATTATTATTATTATTATTGTTATTGTTATTGTTATTATTATTATTATTATTGTTATTGTTATTGTTATTGTTATTATTATTATTATTATTATTATTATTATTATTATTATTATTATTATTATTATTATTATTATTATTATTATTATTATTATTATTATTATTATTATTATTATTATTATATCCTTGTTTGTTTTTCCTATTGATATAACAAAACACATCTTGTTATTGTATTGTGCACCAAACTGTCATAAGCTACCTGAGTTGGACACAAATTTCTGATATCATAATATACTCATAGTATACTGGGTGGCACAAAAGCCGCTATATTATATTACGTGACAGAGAAACAGTTAATCTTGGTTTGTTTACACTGACACAAGACAAGCTCACCTAGGTGTTTAAAGACCGTAAGGAGGAAAACACACATTCCCAACAGAATAACACGCGATTGCATGCAAGCAGTAATTACGGGAGTACTTTTCAGGGCGCAAAGAAGACTGATATTTTCCTGGGTCATGGAAATGGTGCACCGGATCACGGGAATGTTCCATGGAATGTTGCAACGTGGCACGAGGGAACTAATTCATTGATGAAGGCAAGCTAGCGGTTGTCAAGGTGTTGCCGGGGACACATGGGGGTTGGGAGGGTGTCCAGTGTGTGTAAATTCTTTGTCAGTGGTTGAATAATGAGAATAATTTATATTTGCGAACACAATTTTCTTGACACTTTCGGTAATATCTGACATCATCTACTTGGGGGTCATCTAGGTAAGGGAGTGTGGGATTTTAACATCTATTTATTCTGATTTTTCCTTGTAGTATCGAGTCGTTTTGCTTTGTTATGTAATTGTGATATAATTCATAAGGGACAGTAGCGTTAGCCAGCGATAAGCAAGTCACTATACGACCCAGAAGTAGTTAACAGAAGATATAACCAAGCACTGAGGCGACTGTATACCTCAATGTCCATTCTTGCCATACTAATGATACACAGATGTACTGGACTGTAACGAATATCTTTACAGTTTTCTTGTGATAATAATAGTGGGTGGGAGGATTGGCACTGTAACCACGTCACTGACAGTGGTGGTGACGTGTTGGCCTTACTCAGAAGAGCAACAGTGCAGCTGACAGGGTGCACTAGTGACCCCATGCACGCCACTCCACAATAAATAATTCCTCCAGTTGAACTATATTTATCAACATAAAGACAGTAATACAAAAAAGTGAAATGGTGTTTGCATCGCCCTCCTGAACCCGCCCTTAACAGCCTGTTGTAACTACAGTCGTGAACCTCCACAAGTGACACTAATCCCTCCTTTTCTAAAACACACACAACTCACACCAAGAGTACTGCGGGAAACTTGGTCACCATCACACGATTCAAACGACTTAATTTAACCACAACAGAGATAAAGGATGACAGCTACAGGGAATATAAGTCATTATATTACTCACGGTAATAATACTCTCGACTAGCAAGAGGTATAGTTCAGGTGTTTCACATACAAATTACATTTCCACTGACGTGTCCCTCAGTTCTGTCAGCTTGGAGCTGTTTTCTACTCCTGTCCAACCTCCCCCTTGACAACCTTTGCCCCCATAATTACCGGGTTTATTCTCTCACAACCAACAATTACCCTCTACCGCAAAACTTCCTGATTTCACCCACAAATTTGCTACATTTACCCGAAAAAAAAACACAACTCTCTGAAATACCTCAAGATAGATCATTATTGTTCCTGAAGCTAAACCCAAGGATAAAAAAAATGATCTGACGTATTCAATTCCAGCAACTTTCTGACGCGGTAAGTTTTCCTCCTCCATCACCACTGAGGTAAGCTGAAGGGACGGATAATATACTCCAGTTGGTGACAGAAGTGGATGAACGTCATGTTATCGTAAATGTAGACGAGTGTCATGTGATCTTCAAAGTGGACGAGCGTCGTGTTATCGTAAAGACAGACACTGATAACAACTATTTAAGCCCTGATTCTACTAGTATTCATAAACACTTCCATTTTCCTCTCACATATTGCCAAGTTCGTTCCTCTTGGTTGACGCTGACGACCAAACACAACACAACACTGTACGGAAGGTGCTCCTTAGGCAACGATCACGTGATATTCAGCCTTAATACAACCACAAATATCACTCATGTTTACCTTCTAGGCATCCATAATCGAGAAAGGTGACTCAATTGAAAATAAATCACCAAATCTCCCACACAAAACCATAACGGTAACTGTAGTGGTTAAATTCTCTCCCTTTTCACCAACAATTTCACTTCTCCGTCAGTCATATACCTCAAATATACATAAGTCTCCCCTCAAGACTCACACAGTGTTCAGATACACCAAACAGTGACGAACTCTACCCTAAGATCAATACAAATTTTACAGCTTCTGGGCACAAAGTAACACATTAAAAACCCAGAACACGTTAGTTGTATTTCTTAAGTAAATATCATCACTATGGAACCTGTAATCCTCCCCCCCCCCTCCTTCCCCCTCATCCTCACCCCTCTCCTCCTCACCCCCCCCCAGTAATAAACAGTCCTCCAAAACATTAGCATTATATCAGGGTAAAGTAAAACTATATATTACCTCTTGTTTTACATTTCTCACCCTAATGTTATCGACTCGTTATGGTGATAGGGTTAAAGTACACCCAATTTTGCCTCTACCTCCAAGTCGTTCGTGTTTAGTAATGGTAAATATTCATCGGCTGCCACAGGTGTTGAGGCAGACTGATGAAGGAGGTCTGGTTATAACAATATGACTACTGCTGGTCCCATACATTAAAAGTTAGTTTTGAATCCCCTTAGTACGACGAATTAGCCCCTTGAGTACGATGACTTAACCCTTGAGTACGATGGTTTAACCCTTGAGTACGATGGTTTAACCCCCTGAGTACGATGACTTGACCCTCTGTGTATGATAATTTAATCCTTTGAGTACGATAGCATATCCCCGGGTACAATGACATAACCCCTTGAGTACGATGAGTTATGGTAGCCCTCAGCTGCTGGTGGTGGTGGTGGTGGGTGGTGGTAGTCCTCAGCTGGTGGTGGTAGTCCTCAGCTGGTGGTGGTGG